TAGATGCAGTCTCAAAAATTGGTCCTCACAAACAAACCTAAATCCTAGATGCAGTCTTACGAGCTATCTTTGCTTCTCTAAAAGGTAATCACCACTTAGAAAGCATGTAAGTCTCCAACCAGTAACATTTTTAGGAATTATCAACTTTTCAAGAACTAGTTAAGAACTTGATCTTACATAGACACTTCTATACACCTGCACACACAAGCAAATGGAGTTGTTTAGTTATCCAAATCATAATCTTTTCAGAAAAAAATAGGTAACTAATAAAATGTTACTAGAAATAAAAAGGAAAAGGTATGCATGAAGTAAGAACCTGGATGAATTGGAAGCATATAAGGAAGAAGCCAAATCTCAGGGGGCAGTGGATTATTTCCAGACCATTCAAAGACTCCAAGCACCTGTTTCCACCACGAAATACAACCAAAATTAGCAGATGCTCAAGTGAAGTAAACGTTGAATTCAAAGAGCAAAACGAAAAGGTTAAAGAATAAGTTCTGAACTGAAAGCCACATTTTCCCCCATGATGTTATTGCAGTTGCACTACCATGACTCAGAATCCAATTTCTTCCTCTCTCCATCGCCCCTTGACCAGCATTAGCTTCTTCACCAAGGAGCCTTAAAGTAACATAACTCAAGACAGATCCAAACATTGTGCTATGACCCTCGATGTGTAATCTCCACCCACCATCTCTGTTCTGCAAGCACAAACAACAACAGTTTACACACATTTTGGCATAACTACAAAAGAAACAGAGAAAAACTTCACACAAAAGGAAAGGAAAAGTAAAAATAAAAAATACCTTACCTGATGATTATAGAGATACCGGCAAATCTCCTTGATATGTTCTTCAGATAATACTGCGTTTAGTGCCCCAGTGACATACAGAGTTATTACCTGGTAAATCACAAGAGCAAAATTTTATTTTATATCAATACTAACATGGTAAACCTTCAAATTAAATTCTCAAGATTACAAATCATATGCCTCCAGCAAACTATTGGAAATTCCCCATCACCCTTCCTCTTTTCTATCAATCCTAAATTCTCTTAGGGCAAAATAAAATATTTCCTGAACTCACAGCCGGAAAAGACAATTTAGGTGTCACATAGAGATTAACTGACACAAAATGCCCAGTGGCCAAATGAATACCTACCAAGCCAGGCATAAGAAACATAGGACCTCCATAATCCCCAGGCCAATGCCCATCATGGGCCTGAATAGAGGAATAAAAATTGATAGCCCTTCTTAACGTTCTAGTAACCATCTCCTCTGTGATGTCCTCTGCATCTTTTACTTTGACTTGAGGTAGAACTTCTGCAACAGGATTCTCCCTTGCAAACTATTTCATAGGATGAAAGAATGGAACGCACAAAATTTGAATCACAATAGAAATAGTGACTAAAGAACTACAGGCAGAAGCTGAGTACATAAGTAGGAACATTTTAAACAACGAATTTTTCTATAAACATGATTGTTAAATTGAATTTAACTATTAGCTTTCCTTGAGTTCAGAATCACATAACTGTGAATCAAAAGAGCAACCAAGAAGGCGACTGTAAATATGAAACATCAAGAAATTCAAAAAGAAAAAAAAATCTAGACCGAGCAGGCAATTTCACAGCCAATCATTCAACCGTTAAACATGGAAACCTGAATTCGCATCAGTAGATCTGCGCTGTGCTTCTTCTCGAACCGATTGTTGGAGAAGTCCAGGCGAGCCTTTTCGATCTCCATTTTCTCGTCGGGAGATCCGAGTTCAGGATCGAACTCCCAAACTTGTCTTCCGACGTGATTATTCAGCGTTCTCAGCCATGGATTTCCTCCCTCTGCGATCTTCAGCCTCCACATTTTCACTAAACTGCGCGAGACATTAAGAAACTGGCTTGATTCCATAGGAAAAAAAAAATACAAAGAAAAATACCATAAACTCCATTTTCTACAATTCGAAGAAATTTTCACGGCATTGAAGGAGAAATCAAAAAAACTAAAGAAAACTTCCTTCACCTGAATCTTCGCCGGAGCGACGCAACTCAACGACGGCGGAATAGCGGCTGAGACTTTTTAAGCGAGTATATTTTGTAATAAATTATGCTTAATGCAGGTGCTTTTATTTTAATGGAAGTAGGAAACGACATATGATTTTGTTTCCATCCAATAAAAATAAAAATAAAAATTTGAAAGGGAAAGCAAAGCAATTTGTGGGCCGTGGCAGCGGTTTAAGGTTTTTTTTTTTTTAACATATTTGCAAGGTTCGGGTTTCGAACCCAACTCGGAGGAGAGGAATGCACCGGTTGGCTATTGCCACTACACCGCAAGAGTCAGGTGCAGCGGATTAAGGTTATAACTACTCACTTTCACCAAAATTATATTTTAGATAATAATTTTTTTTTAGATAAGGCTTATATTAAGATTTAAAAAATACACCTAATTTCTTAAAATCTAATAATTATAAATTGAATTATAACATAGATTGGGGTTTGAATTCTTTCTCCCCCAATTATAAATTTGTTTAAAAATATATATATTAAGATTTCGAAAGAAGTACATCAAAGAGAAGAGTAAAAGCACTCACAGATTCTCTATTTGTGTAGAAAAAAATTTAATTTTTATTAAATAAAATTTTAAATTTAAATTTTATAAATAAAAAAAAATGTATCAAAAGAGTTTCTGTTCTATAAAATATAACTTTTTTAGAAAAATCAATGACAACATGCATTAACTCTCTTCAATCTTCTGTAGTGTTATGTATAACTAATTTAACAATCTATATAAACATCATTTTTTATGATCCTGTTCCTTTATAAACAATATTAATTAGGATATTGAGGGGCAACTTAAATATTGAGGGATTCATAATTATAGGGGAAGTTACGAGATGGAAAGTTCATTGCTGTGAAAAGACGGTCTCTTGGTAAATCATCCCAAACAAGGAGAATCAGAATTCCTTTCAGAGGTGAGGATGATCACAAGTATCCAACTTAAGAACCTGGTTTGCCTTTTGGGGTGTTGCTATGATGGGCCTCAACGTCTTCTTGTATATGAATATATGCAGAATAGAAGCTTGGATCCAATAATATATGGTATGGCTTGCTCCTATTACTCTATCTTGTTGTTCTTCCAATTTCAATGAGGGCTGCTATGATTGTCTAGGTTCTGTAAATGAATAGAGTTACATGGTCCTAAACAAAAGGTCTGGATTTTCTCAACCATTCAATTCTTTTTACTTATTTGTCCTGTGATGCAGGGGAGAAAGAGCTGTTCCTCAATTGTGACACTCGGTTTCAAATAATCATTCGCATAGCTTGAGGGCTGCAGTACCTACATGAGGATTCACATCTAAGGATTGTTCACAGAGATATCAAAGCAAGCAACATTCTTCTCGATGACAAGTTCCAACCCAAGATTAGTGATTTTGGTTTGGCTAGATTCCTTCCTGAAGATCAAGCTTATCTGAGCACCACATTTGCTGGAACTCTGTGAGTCCCTTGATTCATGTGCATATAAATCATATATCTGCACAATGAACTTACATATAGTCATTTCTATATGATCTACATTAAACTTTCATTGATATTTTTACCAACCCCCCTTTGAACTGTTGTAATATTTGGTTAATTATAGACACATTTTAATTTCA